TCAGGTTCCTAATCAGGGAGTCAAGACAATTTTTTACCACAGGAGTAAATACCTGGAAAGATGCCAGGGGAATGGCAACTCTCCATTGACTGAGGACAGCCTAGCTCCATTCTTGCCAAAAATAACGAGATATTCTGGGTGTATCAATCACAAGCAAAAATATATAAAATAAGTCAAGCTATTGTGAGAGAATACTTTTTTTTTGAAGGAAAAAAAATCCAGAATATTAAGAGCTGGACAAAGTCATTTACTGCCTATTCTTTTGCTGGTTGCCCACGTACGCTTTGTAGTGGAAGAGGTTTTAAGGTGAAGCACAGATGATGCTCTTGATGCTTGTTCAACAATTTAAATAAAATTTCCAGTCTTTGAACCAATAATACGATCTATTACTGGCAAAATTTTAGTACAAATAAGTGAAGCTTTTATTCTGCATACTCACTGCAATGGGCCTTGGTTGTACTGTTTTAATGATGTTTCCTTGGTCTCTAGTTGCTTGTTTACAGCCTGGTGTAGCACAGAGATGTGGCAGGGATTAGGAGTGGGAGAATTCAGATGTGTACTTGTGAGTTGTGTACTGCCGTCTGATTTACCTGAAAAGAAAGTTGTATTTGAGGCACTACGGTAAATTGTTTGCTTCTTCAGCAGCACTGGAGGGAAGAATTAGATCTAAAGACAGAAAAAACCCAAACAACCAAACCCAGTTCTGGCTTGGAAAAATCCCAAACCAGTTTGACTTTTAATAAACAGCTCCATTTCAGTGACTGTCTGAAATTCTTACTGAATGATTAAGGCAAAATTTCTGCATTGTATTGTAGGCTAACTACAAAAGTTCAGAAAACACTTGTCATTCAAGTGTGGAAGTTTTCAAGAAAAGCTGTATTTTTTATTTTATTTTGTTTTGTTAGTTCTTGAGGAGACATAATATGTAACTGACTTTTCAAATTGAAAAGCTCAGGTATTATTTGTGTCTGAGAGATTATGGCTTTACAGACCCTGTGTGGGTGAGAGCGTAAACTGAAGATTTTTCCACCATAGCACACTCAAACCACAGCTGTGAGATAGCCAAGTGTGGGAGTAGTTCTGAAAAAATGGTCAATCGTACCTGGGTTTTTTTTTCATCTCTGCCAGTTTATCTTCCGCTGGCTTCAGCATAGACAAAGAACAAAACTATTTCTGTGGGGAGCACGACTGAGAAGTGACGAGGTGCTATGAGAAGTGTGCTGTGGCCTCTACTTCAGACCAGATGGACATTACGTGAAGATTAGAGTCTTATTTTGTCATGGGAGAGGGGAAATGTACTCAGCTTCCACTTCAAAGCACTATGGTGTTTTTTTTTCACTGATACAAAATGAAAACAGAGCTATGAAATGAGTCCTGAATGCACTCAGCCATCTTCTGGGCTGTGCAACCCTATGAACAGCTGCTCTGTGTTTAAACCCAGGGGCCAGCACGTTGTCATGGGGCACTCTGCAGGTTTGGTAGGGGTGGCCTGTGCAGCAGCAGCACCTCTGCTGCATGGCGCAGGGCGTCTTCAGGCCCAGGTCACTGACACGAAAGGAGGCCAGGTAATTTTGGCTGTTTATCAGTCCTGAGTTTCCCAGAAGCAATCACATAACAGTACTTCCTTCTTTCAGCCTTGCCCCTGTTACAAATAGTCAGTTTAGGTGTGGTTATCTGAAATACTCCCAGGTGCCTCTGTTCTTAGATTCAGTTGTTCTTTTGACTGCACTGAGCACTATGCTTCCAGTGTTTCTTCATGACTTGCAGACTAGCCAGTTTGAGTAAATCTAGTTGAGTAACTCTATGCATAGGGTTATGTGCATTTACATAAATTCTCTTCACAGTGAGATTTTTTTTTTGTTTCAAATTTCACATCACCTTTTAGTTATTAAAAAAAAGAAAAATTAAAATGTTTGTTCTGTCCCTGCTATGGAGGCAGCTTTTTTAATAGGTTCTTATGTGATAACACAAATTGATATTTTAAAAACGCCTCTTATAGTTAACTTATCTCCTGATGGAGCCATTCCAGTTGACCTGCAGTGGGCTGATCAGTAAGAGTGTGGAGGGGGAGAAGCTTCCCTTTCTCTCTATTCAGAATAAGGCATTGGATTGACAGACATCAGGATTAGCAAGGAATCCAAAACATCCCCATCTCAGCACTGAGCTTTCTGTGAGAATAAAACTAATAGAGATAGTTAATAAAATTTAAAAAAGGACTACTTTACTAAAGCAGGAAAATTCAGGAAAACAGTGCAGCCCAAAAGCAGAGGCATTCAGAGCAGGCTAGTTGCAAACTTGCTTTATGGTTTACTCTTACCTCATTAGTGGATGTGCCAGAGTTCTTTCACTTCAGAGTTTTCTATAATAAATCTGCCTGGGACCTGTAACTGTGATGTTTACTGAAAGGTTAAAGGTTAAAAATTCATAGTATGAAAGGTTAAAATTGGCAGTATTATAAATAGCTGAGGGAAAGGCAGCCTTTCTTTTGTGAAGTTTTGAATCTGCTTACATATACCATTGATGTTAGCATTTTTAACGTTGTAGGACTTAAAAGGTCCCAGTACTTTAGTGCTTACTGATAGGGCTTCTTCTAGTCTGGTTGGTCTTCAGGGAACTTGGCTTTTGAAGCTGCCGTACTTGTACATCTAAGAGGAGATTGACTTTTGGCGGGGAGAGGAAAATGGGCTCAGCGATACCCAGAGCTCTCTTCTGACCACAGCCTTGCTGTATCTGCAGCCGTGTCCATGAGCCATGTTGAGAACTAGGTTCAGCAATTAGTCATGTCAGGCCAAGTGCTGGGTCCTACATTTGGGTCACAACACCCCCCCACCACTGCTACAGGCTTGGGGAAGAGTGGTTGGAAAGCTGCCCGGTGGAAAAGGACCTGGAGGTGCTGGTTGACAGCCAGCTGAACATGAGCTGGCAGTGTGCCCCGGTGGCCCAGAAGGCCAACAGCATTCTGGCTTGTATCAGGAATAGTGTGGCCAGCAGGAGTAGGGATGTGATTGTGCCCCTGTACTCTGCACTGGTGAGGCTGCATCTCGAGTACCATGTTCAGTTATGTGCCCCTCAGTACAAGAAGGACACTGAGCTGCTGAAGCATGTCCAGAGAAGGGCAACAAAGCTGGTGAAGGGTCTGGAGAACAAGTCTTATGAGGAGTGGCTGAGGGACCTGGGGTTGTTTAGTCTGGAGAAAAGGAGGCTCAACGGAGGCCTTATTGCTCTCTACATCTACCTGAAAGGAGGTTGTATTGAGGTGGGTGTTGGTCTCTTCTCCCAAGTAACTAGCAATGGTATGAGAGGAAATGGCCTCAAATTGCTCCAGGGGAGGTTTAGATTGATATTAGGAGAAATTTCTTCACCGGAAGAGTGGTCAAGCATTGGAACAGGCTGCTCAGAGAGGTGGTGGAGTCACCATCCCTAGGGGTGTTCAAAAGCCGTGTAGATGTGGCACATCGGGACATGGTTTAGAAGGCATGGTGGTGTTGGGTTGACAGTTGGACTTGATGATCTTAGAGGCCTTTTCCAACCTTAATGATTCTATGATGTCTGGGAAAAGGCTGCTGAAAGGATAATCTTCCCTCTATAAAAAATGCTGAAATCTAAACCTGTTATTTTCTCTTTAGAAAAATAGACTTTGCTTAAAAGAAAGGTTTAGTCTTGTTTTCTACTGTGGCTATAACAACTGTCAAGGTGTTTGGTTTTTATTGTTTTTGTGTAGAGATGTATTATTTGGGTGGAAGAGTGAATTCTTGTTAATATATCAGGTTTTTTGCCATGCTGAATGTCAAAATGAAATGTTTTCTGAGCTCAACTGAAGCTCAACTTTGTAAATTGAAGATGGATAATGGATTGATTGTGTAATTCTGCCCTAGCTACAGGAAATAAATGGAATTATGGGTAACAATCTTTATTATTTGTAGATAATACTGTCTCTTAAGACTGTATATTCTGACTGCAGTTTTTAAGGCTTTTGATACTGGAGTTAAGCTAAGCTATTTGCTTCAGTGTGTTTTGGGAGCAAATCCCAGTAGCTCTATACTGAGTGTTCCATGTCCCTTTGCTGTCAGTGCAGGATTGAAACTTTAAGAACTGAAGGAATACGTAGCTTCTGTGATGCAATGTTAGGTATAATTCAGCTGTCTTCTCAGACAAGGCATATGAGTGAGCTTGTATAGTATTTGCTCTATCTGTTTTCAGATCCGTATAGTTGTCTGTACTCATAATACGGTATGATTTCATAATAGTTTCTGCCTAGCTTCCAGGTGGCCCCTACTGAGTTGAACTACTAAGTGGGTGTTAATGTTTGCATATATCATTATTATCTTTAGGAAAATATTTGGTAAATGGTTTTGGTCTTTTATTTGTTAATAAAAGACACAATGTCATTGTTTTTAAACTAAGTACAACCAGTACTTAAACGATTAGCATGCAAATTGTATATAGTTGTGGAGACCTCTTTTTACACTGCAGTGCACACACAGCACAAGATATGAAGCATTAGTACATGGAAAATAAGACATTTTCATAAGAATGTATGTGTGGTGTATAAATAGTTTATTGTTGGAGCCTAGTTTACGTTGCACAGTTATAAGGATAGTAAAATGTGTGTTATATGATGTGTAACTCAGTAGTATGAGGCACAGATGTCTGTAACTTCATCCTTTCTCATCCTTAGTTCCAAGGATAAACAGTGACTAAACAAGCGCTTTTCCTTACCATTGTTATAAAGTCCTTTTGTGATGAATGCAACATCATTCTTGTTATTTTAGTGCAACAGCTCATGCAGATGATGCTGTTTGAGCATCAATCACAAACGTAACCACTGTTAACAATGGTACTTTCTTTTCTCTCCAAGAAAAGTCCCAGGTATCATGCACTCAAATTTGACATGTATGATTTGATTTTTTTAATTATACAGTCAGTTTTCAGGTGTCTTTATATTTTTATTGCTAAATTTCACTTGTTTTGTATAGCTTTCTTCTCCCTTATTGTAGGTGGGAAGATTGTGTATTCCCCTGAAAAGACCACAAGTTTAATCTGAAATCCTGCCCATCCAGGATCTCAAGAATTGGCAAGAAGCAAGGACCATTTGGTTAAGTATTTCCTGCAGATTTCTTTCTCATCAGTGCTTGGGATTGGCATGGCTTTTTCAAAGCAATAGCCATGTAGCAGGGCTGTAGAAAGATGGGGTCTGTATTACCTTTCAGCTGATGCAGTGTAGGGTAAATAAGTTTGTGCTTGGTTTTTTCACTGACTTCTTTTCTTCTGACTTCATCTCTTAGCCCTTGGGATGGGGTAAGAAAAGGAATATGGTGGTGGCTGGTTCCCTAGCCCCCTGCCTCCCCTGCAGAATATTGTTGCTGATATGGGGACTTCGAGGGTATGGGAACAGCTTGAGTTGTTAACTTCTCATAGCCAACAACTTCTGGGTTAATTGTACTGCCTAGCTGATTCATCAGGGTGTAGTGCTAAGCTTTCTTAGGCTAGGACTTCTCACGGTTTGAAATTCTGCTACTTCTTTTTACTGCCTGGATTTTGGAATCTCCACAGTTTGTAAGGGGCCAACAGTTTGTTCATTTAGTCTATGAAGACTATAAAGTGCTTAGACTCTATGATAGTAAGCAGAATGGAAGTATGTAGAAAATAAATGTAGATTTTGATTGAAAATTTATCAAGTTGCTTGTGTCTACCATATTGGTAGGATTTTTTTGCTCCAGAAATGAACAGTACATTGACCAGTCCATGTGGTTTTATTCTTGTGCACGCAGGTCAAGTTTGGAGGTAGTTGTTGCTGGTTACATACAAGGCTGGTTCCAGATGTGCACAAAACTAGATTTGCATTTGTGGCCCCAGTGGTGGTGTAAGCCATGAAGTTGTACTTCAGATATGGTGTGTGTCCAATTTTACCTTTACAGTGACTCAGTTTGAAAGGTAAGTGGCTGTGAGCATTGCGCATTGTACCGATGATGTCTGGGTTGAAGCAAATAGTCCAACTGCAGCACAGTTTGATGGCCCGCTGCTGCAGTTCAACGATGCGGATTTTGTGCAAATATAGCCCAATGGTCAAACTGGCTTGCTCAGGTACCAGTGGCAGGCAAACTATGACCTTACAAACTTTCACACAGTTTACAAACGAGTTCTTATGAAGGTATAATTCAACTCCAGGAGTTGTAGTTGTACCTGTGTACCAGTTGACATCCTTTATCTGCAGAGACCAACCCAATGCTCCAGAAGGCCATGAGCACTTTTGGTTTCCAGGAGACTGACCTGCCTGAATCTCCTGGCTGGCAGCACTGAACGCAGCCCTGCTTTGGGATTTCTTGAGTGATCAAAGTAAAGCTTTTTGTTGTTCACTTACTCCTGAAAGAAATGAGCCAGAGTGAGGAATGGCTAGCTGCGTCCATACACATCGAAGTCAACAGAGGGGCTTTCACGTTTGCCTTAAGCAACTCCTGTGCCCCTTCCCCACCCCCCCAAAAAAAAACCCTCAGCAAGGTCAATTAGAGGACCTCCCCGTCATGCCTCAGAGCTGTGGGATGAATCACTGCTGTCCACTCATGGCAGGAAGAGCGCTTGAGTGCATCTCCTAGGGGAATTCCTTCCCAGAAGCCCTTATCTGGCACCCGCAGTCCTTCCACAACCTGCTGCAGCCTGGCGGGTGCACATGACAGGCTGCTAGCAGGCCAGCTCACCCTACTTTGCTCTTCCTCAGGATCTGCAAGGTCTTAATGCTCAGTATTTTCCCTGTGCTGGTCCTTGTTTCACCATAGTAGGCTGACTTTTTAAGTAGAAAAGGTTTGCTAGATCATTTCGAGGCGCGTATTATATTTCCCACAAATCCTGAGGAAAAGGTTTAGCCTGGGAGCTGGTGACCTATGTTTCAGTTAGCACTTCTGTCTCTGACAGTGGCTTGTCTACAATGGAAGTAGGCCTAGAAATGCTTGTAGACAGTAGTGAAACACTGCAGCTTCTAGTCCTAACCTAAGATTGAAACAAGACAGATTCTTTTTTGTCCTAGAAGTAGCTATTCTCCACATAAATCATAAATGGACTCCAGTGAGTAGATCAGGAGAGAGATCTGCATGTGGCCCAATTAATCTAATCTGCCTGTACTTGAGGTGGAAGAAGAAACACTGGTGATGCTATATGAGAAGTATTTAAATTAAAGGCTCCTTGATAAGGCTATAAAAGAGAAAAGCATTTCTTAAACAGAAATGTGCTAATAACATTTGGCAAGAGATGCATCATCAATAAAACCTTAAGGAGAAGGTAAAGATGGTGGGAACCTTGTGCAGCACCATGTAGTCTCTTAGGGCTCATTCACAAAATGAAACACAAAGTCTTGTAAGGGACAACTGACAGAGCTGAGATGGGAGCAAACTAGGACAGGAATCTTAGGTTTCTCTCTGTACTGTTTGCTTCTTCCAGAGGCAGCAGTTAATTTAGTTGATTAAAAACAAGAAAAACTTTCTAAAGCTTAATTAGATATTTTCTCTGATTCCAGGAAGTAAGAAGACTTTCTAGTCACTGGGAAAGCAAAGAAGGAACTTCACTGTTAACACGGTCACTTCAAGTTAGACTTACATCTTTCAGTCATGTTCTTTAAGGGTTGGAAGTAGAGAATGGGAAACATTCTCAGCCATGAACTGGATTGTCTACTGTCTTTCTTCCTCCTCTTCTGTGCTTCAGGCTATTTAATCTCCCTTCTGAGTGGCTAAAGGAAGGTGAGGGCAATGTGAAGCTCCTTATTCTGATTCAAGCAAACTGGGTTTGGTCATTTCTCCCTCCCCACTGGCAAATTGCTCATTGTGAAAACTAAGTTGGTGTAAGTTGAGAAATAGATTCATTTCTTGTTTAAAGGATTTATCATTTGTTAGTCAAGTTTTGGTATGTTCTGAACATTGTAACTGGGTATGAAGTTTACTTTTTCAAGCATACTTCACTATTTATTTAAAATTGTTTTGAGGCATCCCTGCCAGCACTTGCTAATGGTTGCAGAAAGAACTTTTTTACAAATTTGAAAAGCTGTCCATATTCCCTGGGTGAATTTGTGTTCCTCATTTTGTACCTGATTCATGTTCTTTATGTATGGCCCTCCTAGCACTTGAACCATGTGCTTTACTTGCACAGCCTTGTTCAATCCTTAGGAAGGATTGAAGGCTCAGTTATTTTGTGTGACATGGTTATTTAAGGCCCTTCAAGAAACTTTATCTGGATTTGACTTTGTGCTCTGAGAAGTTTCATTGCCCACAGAACAACTAATTGCCATAGTTTTATGAACTGCATGAAGTCTTCACCCTGCTGGGTTTTAATTGAATGCAAAATTACCCAAAGCTCAATTTGCTTTTACAATAAGTATTTTGTAATGTGTTTCAAGTTGGATGTCCTGACTCCAGCTGCTGCAGCAGATGTTTTATGCAGAGATGCGCTCTCTTTTGGTGTGCATAAAACTGTCTAATATTCTGAAAAAATTACTCTGCAAAATGTAAATCCCTAGTGCAGTGTTGTGGTAATGACAGAAATATCTGTCAGGACAATTTTAGTGATGCTTAATGTTGCATTGCAGTTTTTGTTAATCTGTGGGGAAAATCACTCCTGTTTTATTTGTCCTTCCATAGTGGCATATTGAAGCTGTTTAGTAGCACAGTCAAATTTAGGTTGGAAGGGACCTCTGGTGGTTATCTGGTCCAACTTCCTGCTCAAAGCATGTTCAACTAGATCAGGTAAATTTTTACTTGTATCTACATTAAATTTCCTGTTTCCCAATTTGTGTCTGTTATCTCTTGTCCTCTTACTCTGCATCTCTGAGAAGAGTCTGGCTCTGTCATCTGTGCACCCTCTGACTGTAACTGTAGACAGCACTGAGGTCTCCCCGGGGCCTTCTCTTGTCCAGGCTGAACAAACCCAGTTGCCTTAGGCTCTCATGCTTCAGCTCCCTGACAGTCTTGGTGGCCTTCCACTGGACTTGCCTCAGCGTGCCTGTGGTGGGTTGACCTTGGCTGGACACCAGGTACCCACCAAAGCTGCTCTATCACTCTCCTCTTCAGCAGGACAGGGGAGAGAAAATAAGAGGGGGAAAAAAAAACCTCGTGGGTCAAGATAAAGGGAGTTTAATAAAGCCAAAGCAAAGGTTGTGCATGGAAGCAAAGAAAACCGGAAGACTTATTCTCTGCTTCCCATCAGCAGATGATGTCTGGCAACTTCCACTGAAGCAGGGCTTCAGTATGTGTAGCAGTTGCTCTGGAAGACAAATGTAAATAACAACCCCACTTCCCTTCCTCCTTTCTCTTAGCTTTTATTGCTGTGGTGTGGAATATCCCTTTGGTCAGTTTGGGTCAGCTGTCCTGGCTGACCCTGATCCCAAGATCTTGCCCACCTCCAGTCTACTGGTAGAGGGGGGAAATGTGGGAAAGACAGCCTTGATGCTGTGCCAGCACTACTCAGCAGTAGCCAAAACACTGGTAGCTGGCAAGGTGTTGATAACACACCAGTGCATGGCACTGTGAGGGCTGCTCTGGGGAAAATTAACTCCATCTCAGCCAGACCCAGTAGAGTGTCCTTGTCTTTCTGGTATTTGGGATACCAAAACTGGATATGGTACCCCAGATAAGGTCTTAGCAGTGGTAGGTATAGAAGAGTAAACATTTCTCTTGATCTGCTGGCTACACTGTTGTTAATTCAGTCCAGTACACACTTGGCCACCCTTGCCACAGGGCGTGTTGCCGACTCATGTTCAGCTTGTTGTCCATCGCAGGTCCTTCTCCACAGAGCTGCTTCCCAGCAGTCATCCCCCAGCTTGTACTACTGCATGGCATTATTCCCTCCCAGATACAGGACTTAGCATTTGCAGTGGTGATCCTCGTGAGTTTCCTGTTAGTCCGTTTCTCCAGCTTGTCCCAGTCCCTCTGAGTAGTGATCTGCTCTCCAGCCTCTTGAGTGTCCCCTGCACAATCCATGAACTTGCTACAAGCTCACTCCATTTCATCGTAGTATCGGTCCCTGAGGGGTACTGCTGATAACCAGCTGCCAGCTGGACTTTGTATGGATAATGTAACCCTTTGAGCCTGGTAGTCTGACCAGTTCTCCACCCAGATTTTCATGGCAGCATTCATCCTAAGCTGCTGAGGCTGGTGGTCTTTGTTACTTACTATTTTGAGCTATAAAAGCTATATTCAGTTTGAGGAGCCTGGTTTTGATGCTTTGTACGCTTACAGGCATCTCTGTGGAGGTGAGCATAGGTTCTCCTCTTTCCACTGAAGAGAAGCGCTATGTTGACTGGTGGTGGGCAAGCCAAGACTGGGGAGGGAGTGGGAGGGGATGTGATATCCTTGTCTGATGAAGCAGTGATACTGGGTTTTAAAGGAACAGGTGAGAGAGAGCGCCTTCGTAAGCATAAGTGGCTGCTCTTGGGAACAGTGATGTGGAAAAGATCCCATAAATAAGAAAGGATCCTCTATAAAGCAAAAGATGTGCTAGCAGTACGTAGTCTCTATTAACGCATTTTGTATCCACAGGTATATTTTGAGGTGCAAGATGTCTGCCCTGAGGCTGATTTCTAACAGAACCTCCCAGCAGGCCTTGTCTAACTCTGATTACACCTGGGAGTACGAGTACTATGAGTATGGACCAGTGTCGTTTGAAGGCCTGAAGGCTCATAAGTGTAAGTTCAGTAGAGTCATACTTTATTGCAGCTGAGCTTCCCCACCTTAATGTTCCTGCTCTTCATTTGTAACTGATTACTGTACAAAAATATCTCTCTCCTAATTTTTTGAATGCTCAGCAATTAGAGGCATTACTCTATTTATTAGAGTATAATAATTGTTTATTATTCTGTGTCTTTTTCTTGACTTTTTTTTTTTATGCTTGAGAGAACCATGGATTTCTTGGCTGTGGTAGAAATTTGTCAATACTGAGGAATATCAGGCTATCAGGAACAGTTTATAATGACAAATACAGCCACTGCTGCTTCTGGTGATTACTTGGTATCATCTGCGTTGCTTTGTTCTTGTTCCTGTTAATGCTAAAAAGGCAGTGGTGGGCAGCCTTACTGCTTTTGTTTTTCTTCGTAGAAAATAATTTTCAGGCTTTTAAAAGATATAGAACAAAAAAAAGAAAATTCTACTTGTTAAGAAACTTTTATCATTGGGACTCTCTCTCAGAATGCTAAATTCGGCATTCTGCTAATACTGGAACTGTTTTACAGTAGACGTAACAAGTGGAGGACAAGGACCAGAAAGATGAAGAATATGGGTAGGAATTCAGAGGAAATTTAGCTAGCACAAGCCAGTACAGGTGGACTAACATCTAAAATCTAGACAATGGCTTTGGCTTTTATGCATTTTTTTTTTTGTAGGGGGAGATGGTTGGGGGGGGAAACAAAAAAAAAAAAAAAGGAAAAAAATCAATAAGCATTATGCCTAAGAGAAGCAAACCATCTTGTTTCTTTGTTTCTGAGCTGGATACACTTGAGAGGGTTTGAGCACCAGTTTTCAAAGTACTGGGGAAGGGTCTCCATCCAGTGCTGGAGCACTGGTCCAGGGTGGGATACATACTTTCTGCCTCGTTTGTCATGATGAGGATTCAGACTGGGAAATGGGAGTGCCTGCAGTGGCCAAGAGCAACCCAGAAAGGCTGATGTCCCTTGGCTCTGCACAGTCAGGAGGTTTGGGGAGGCTCTGTAAAGGACAGAAGAAACTTGTTGAAGTTGTTATTAACACATTTAAAAAAAAACAGAGCAGAACTTGCTTTTTAGCCTGACTTGTACTTTACCTTTTTTTTCCCCCCAAAAAAAGTCTGCTGATTACTGTCTGTATTTTTACAAATGTTAGGTACTTGAAAAATGTAGGTTAGCTTTTATCATGTTTCTAATTTATATTCTATTCTTCCACTTAATCAGAGGCCAAACCTGATTACAAAGACTACTGATTACAAAGATTAGGTGCAGTGTTATGTACATGCCTCCTATTTAGCTCGGTGTGTCAAAGAGTGTAACAGGAGGGAAAAAAATATGATAGTTACCTCTGGATTGTGGAAGGTATAGCAGCATAACAGATCTTGGATTGCCATCGAAGTGATTGCCGTGCTAAGTGTGGCGGCTTCACTGTCTGGCTGTGCTGTTCATAGAGCAGGAGGGTTCTGGACAACTCTTACTAGAGAATGGGACAGAAGTAACAACTGCTTTTGAGGTGGAGCTTGATGTACTTATGAAAGAGGTCAATAGTAGTATTGAATCAGTGACCTAGGAAGTCCCGTCTGGGATTTTTTTCATTGTTTTGTTTTTTGGGTTTTTTAACCTGACGATTGGAGTTGACTCTGTTTATTTTGGTGTTACTGCATGCGTTCTTAGAGGGCTGACTTTAATCTAGTAAAGGAACAATCTATGTCTGTGTGTATGACATGGTATGTTGGTGTATTTCTTGTTCCAGCTATTTCCAGCTCAGTTGAAACTGTTGAGGAATGTGGAGACAATGAGGTCAGACATTTAACTTCACTAAAATCCTAAACTGGGGAGGAAGGAGGAGAGGCATTGGATTAGGAGGGACACCTTGAGTATTGACAAAAAAGGGGTGTTGATGAATACCTGTAACTTATGTTGGGGAGCTTAAAGGGGTGTGGACTCCAGTTCAGGTGTTGCAGGGTGGCAGTGACACTTGGCCAGCTGTAAAACGTCACAGGCCCTTCTTAAAACTAGAGGTGTGTGATTTTTTTTTTAATTGTTTGATATACAAGGTATTTCACCCAAAATGAGGACACTTTTTTTTTGAACCATAATGTCAGATGAATTCAACAAGAGAAAGTTGGAGGCCACTTTCAGACTGATGATGATTTAATTCATTGTAGGCAAGAGGAGGTTCATAATAATTTAACGTACATACAAAGGAATTCAGAAGCCTGTTTTCTGAAAGCAGAGAGAAATCTGTGCAAAGTGACCTGTGAAAAAAATATTGACAAAGCAATCTCATACACAATAATACATTTCTTAAAAAAAGTGGGGAGAAGATGAGCTGTTCAAATGCCACAGTGACTTCTCAAATATATGACTGCAAAAAAAAGCTGTAAAAAAGTATGTTCTGCCTGAGGAGAAGTGAAGGCAGGAACTAGAAATCAGAAAATCCAGAAAAGTAGGCACCAGATGTTTTGTAAATTAAAGCTTTAGAAAGTAAATAGACGAAGATAGCCAGCAGATATCTGTGACTGGCAGAGATGAGAACAAAATCCTTTTTTGTGTGTTTGTGTCCTGGTTTTCGGCTGGGATAGAGTTAACTTTCACAAGAAGCTGGGAGGGGACACAGCCGGGACAGCTGACACAAACTAGCCAAAGGGATATTCCCTATCATATGACATCATGTTTAGTATATAAGGGCTGGAGCTGTCCAGGGAGGAGTTGCTGCTTGGGGACAGGCTAGGCATTGCATTCCAGGTGGTGAGCGGATTGCATTGTGTATCATCCACTTTGAATATTCTAAGTGCTATTGTTTTTCTCTCCCTTTGCTGTCCCAGTAAACTGTTCTTATGCCAACCCAGGAGGTTTACCTTTGTCTTCTGATTCTCCTCCCCAAGCGACCACGTGGTGCTTGGCTGCCAGTTGGGGCTAAACCGTAACACTTTGGAACAGAAGAAATCTTAGTAATATTAGAGAGGTAAAATACGTAGAAATACTCAAGGGAGTCAGGACTGCTGCCAGGATGTTATGAGTCTGTGTTATGAAGGAAAGGAAGGCTGATACTGCAACTTGAGAAAGTCATGGGATGCTTTCCCAATCTATTTGTAACTTGAGACAGTATTATAAATGTAGTCCTGTGTACCATATTTTTTAATAAATGTTGTGTACTGTTTATTTTGAATTAAATGTTTAGAAGTTAGTAGGTTTGAATGATTTGCAGTTAAATGAGTGAGACCTAAATGAAATACTGAAGAGAACTCAGGCCACCTGCTTTAATTTTAAAAAAATCCAAAGAGTGTAATTGATACAGCAGAAGGTTGGAAGTGCATCAGAAGCCACAATAAAACAAGGAAAATGTACCTTTAGGTGCAGTAAACTTAGGAATTCCGTTGGGGGGGGGGGACGACGACATCAAACAAACAACTAGACAGGCTTGTTTTTCAGCACACAAAAAATGCTGGCAGGTATGATTTATTTTTTTTTTTTGGTGGGGAGTAGTAGCTTATCAGAATCTTTATTTTTTTATTTTTATTTTTTTTCCTTTTTTCCCTTAGTTGGTGAGTTGTATTTTGCAGCTGGATCAATATAATCTATGTGCATGTGTTTTAGACATCTTACTTGATCAGACTTTACATTCTGGTTATCAATGCAGTTGCATATCATTGAAGCATGTCTGACTAATTGGTAGGTACTAGTAGCTGTAAATGGTTAATTGGTATTTTTTTTAATAGGAGTATTTCTTTCTAGATGAAATTCTAAGGTAGTATAAAGTCTGGTAGGATGATAGATAATTATGAGCTATTGTGTATTAGTAAGGCCAAACACAAAATGCATCTTGAACCACTGAATACAGGCTATAATTATAGAATGATTCTGAAAATAATTTAGGGCTCATAATGCATGGAATTACACAAACTCATACCAGTATGCTTTAAGAAAAAAGGACTATTACAAACTTCTCCCTCCCTCCCCCCATCATGGACACCTATACTTGAACCATCCTCTAGTTATTTTACAAAGGGTGTTGAGAGGGGGAGATGTGGCAGAGATGGAATAAACATTGCAGTGGGAGACTCCTTGGCTTAACAGAAAAAGGAATAAAGGAGTGACTTAATTGTGATAAAGTATTTTCACAGGGAGAAGACCTCAAGCTGCAGCAGGCACTTTGACTTTGCAGAGAAAGAGCAAATGTTTTGAATTTATTTCCAGTTTCCAGATCTTCCTTTTAGCATGGAAGAGATTTCACAGTGGGAGTGTGATTAACTGTTGCGGTCAAGCACCAGGCAGGATAGCTGATTCCTTGTTTTCTGGTGTCTTTAGTTAGTTCTGTAGGAGATTGAACAGGTGGGCTAAAGGTCTGTACTGTGCCTGCTGCGCTGGGTCAGACAGATCATCGTGTAGCTTTACAGGCAACAAGGATCTCTGAGGTTCAGTAGTAGCTGTGTAATGAGAGGTTAAGGGTAGATGGGATACCTGTCCTGACCAAGACTTCCCTCTTGCATGTTTGTATGTTAATTTTTTTTTTTTGAACTTTTACACTGAAAGTTTTGAATATTTGCATAACCAAAAAAAAAAAAACTAACTGAAATGACAGGTGAAAAAGTACCTGTATACTGTGGGTCCTGGACCAGGTCATGCTTATCAATTGATTGTTGTCTGGAAATATGTTTGTCCCACTTGGATCTCTCTTAATCAAGTTCCTGGAAGCTTTGAGCTTCCTTCAGAAGCAACTGTGGATCAACTTTGAAGTCATAAGTGGGCATAGATTTAAGTAGGAGTGGTGATTTATCTATGGGTCCATTTGCTATAAATGAGAACAGTAGGTACATTTTATGCACACAGGCAAAAAGCCATGCTCTTCCCAATTGCTTCTATATTTGGCTACTGCGTTGGTGTTTTCCTTTTAATTAGCTGGTGGTTTAACCCTTTTTGTCCAATTCCATTTGGGTCCTCTGACATTGTATTGCAGCTTTCTGCATGCAAGCTGGAAACACAAATTAAAAATTATTCAAAATGTCTTGTATATGGTGGTTATTGATATTTGTTGAGGTAGCAAATAGTTTTATCTGTGGTTCCATTTATGTCAGAACCCTCTATCTTAACACTGAGAGAAAGCTAGATCTTTCTAAACCTATTGTGTCAGAGAAATCCATCAAACTCCAGAAACTGAATGGTCTGGGGCAGAAATCATTTAAAATAGCAGGAGTTCAGTTAGAGGTTTTTGCTGAAAATCAAATAATCCTCTCTTCTGAGTTCTAGCACTGAAGTTGTTTTTAAAGCAATGCTTGGAAATGGGACAGGCATCACAAAGGGAGCTGCTCTTACTTTACTGACCAAGAGAATTCAGTGTTTTCCCTCTTTCAGCTTGTTTCTGGTTTGTCCAGACATCAGCAAAACTTGGGCTAGAAGTAAGAGCTTCAATGACATCTTTCTGTTTAAAAATAGATAATGATAAATCTGATCATCCTTCTTCTTTGCCACCCAGGAATAAGATGCAAAGTCTTTTGAGATTTGCAGTCATGCTGCATGTGGAAGGAAACCTTCTGCAAGTCCGGGTGAAATACTGATCTTGTTTTCTCTTTTTTTTTTTTTACCAGATTCCATTGTGATTGGATTTTGGGTTGGTCTTGCAGTTTTTGTCATCTTCATGTTTTTTGTCCTGACCCTGCTGACGAAGACAGGAGCACCACATCAAGAGTGAGTCTGAAAACTGGAATAACAAATCCAACCTGCTAAGTGGCATGTCTATTCTTTTGCAGCCCCCAAACAAGCAGCAACAGTGCTGACATTGCACTGGCTCAGTAACATCTTGTTCTAGTCTGTTCTTATGAAAGGGTGCAGTCTATCTTTGTTTCAAATAATCTTCGTTCCAAGCACTTCTGTAGAATTGTTATGAATGTGTTCCCTATTTAGCAAATAATCAGTAGGCACACAGTAAGAGAAGGGAATAGCTGTATGTATGCATTTTCATGCTAAAAGGAAGTTGGTGGGTAGGCTGCCAAACAGGTGGCTTTAGATTACTGTTCTGCAAATAAATGGGGTCATTCTAGGTAGGCTCACGTTAGGATGGAGTGGAAGAGAGAAATGTGAATACTGACAGAGTTTATACAAATAAAATGTAGCACAGATGTTAAACTGATGAAGTTGAAGTCTGGTGGGTTTCCACATGTTTGTGTGTTCAATCCGAAAGGTAGCTATCGGTAGTACTTACAAAATCTTCCCTTAACCCTGTAGGTCCCCTAGTCTGAGTGTCTTAGTTTCTGCTGAGAAATTCCAGTAGATGCTGAAGTACAGATCAACTCCACATTTGTTTAGCACCAAGGACCCCTGAAAGTCACAAACTAACCTTTTTTTCTTCTTTCTGGCTGATAAGTATGTGCCTTGCCTCAGCCATTTATCTGCATTTGCACAGCACGTAGGCTGTCAGTGTCCCTTCCTCTGAGAAAGTTTAAACCTACATCTCCTCTCAGGCTTGCATGCCACAAAGTAGATATAAAAAGCCTCTCTGGAGAGTGAGATCATTTGCAGGTAGGTAGCAATGATGAGAAGCTGATTGTGAAAGGCAATTGTTAGTGCTTATCACTTCCTAAAGCAGCCTGCCTACCTCTGCCTGCTGAAGGCCCTTTGTTACTTAGTCATATGTAGACTGGCTCTGAAACTTCATGTAATAGCACATGTCTAGAGACATGGACATATTAGAGAGGATCTATGTATATCATGGGCCTCTTTTGTGCTCCTAAATTTTTGCTTCTGTGAGAAGGAAATAGAGGCAGAAGAATTCACCTTCCCAGAACTGACTTGCTGGTATTTTTGCCTCCCTTACAAACTGTCATAAAGTAGCCAGACCTTACTCCCAAATATATTTAAAGTCCTTGTAAGTGTTTGTGTGCTGCCTCTTTTCCCTGGAGATCTTGTTTCTTAGCTGAGCATCTCAGTTTGTATCCCACGTGAATAGTTTGAGAGGGGAAGAAGTGGTGAAGTCAAATATACAACAAAGAGGATTTAATATGGATATTTGTCTAAAGTTTGTACACTTGTAAAAATGTACTTTCAAGTAGCAGAGCTTGATATCTCCCACTGTTTTTCTGCTTTCTTAATGAATTTTCCAGGAACAGGTTGCCTAGAGAGTTTGTGAAACATCCGTCTTAGGTTATCTGGATGTAGAATTTGACCAGATCTGAATTCAGAGTTGGCCTTGCCTTCATCAGGGCGTCAGGCTAGAGACCTCCAGAAGTCTCTTCTAATCTAAATCTTAATATATTTTTTTCTTCAGTTGCTGAGGAGAGCCCAGTTATTCCTTTCTGTAGTTTGTTTTAAACTTCCTTTGTAGCTTTGGGAGCTGTGTGCTTGAATGCTTGCCCGCTAACTATGTGTGCTGAGTTGGCACCTTTATCAAATCTCAAAGAAATAGTGCTTAAATTTATTAACCAAATGTGTATGGTACTGCAAATAGATCATCCAGGAATAAGCTAAGGCCAGTGAATATTGTTGTTTCCTTTCATTTTTGATACATGTGTATAAAAACCTGGAGAACAGAAATACCTACCTGTAAAACCAGTGCAGGCTGTGGTTTTAGTTTGCCTGCATCTTCTGTCTTTATACCTAACTGGATTCTTCATGACTTCCCACTTCATTAGTGGGCTATCTTGCAGCCCTCCTTTAGAAATAGATGTTAATGGGGTTCCTAGGTCTTGGGAGAAAACCAGCCTGATTGATGAAGGTGTCTCTGACTTCAGTAAGTCAATTTGACTGTTCTTTAAAGTACCATTAACGTGAGAGATAAGTGTAACTGGGTTCAGATGGATCAATCCCAAGTGGAATACTCTGATTTTTCTAGTAGTATGCTTTTCTTGGCTCAATATAAAGGGGTATGATAGCATGTACTTTAGAAATTGTACAAGATGTTCAGAATTGGGTACTTTCTCAGACCAGGAGGGTCAGCATATGGATGGGGAGAGGTAGAGATATAATTAGTTATGGAAATGATGCCCGTTGCACTTTTCTTTTGATTGCTTGCATATCAGTATGTGTAGAACATTAGCTTGTGTGGGGAAAAAAAAAAAATATTGTTGACAATCTTTCTGAATTTCTGCCTGAAAAGCACTCTCTCTCATTCACCACTCAGGAGAAAATAGCATGGTATGTTTGATTCTGCATTTAAAAACATCCGTAAAAATGCATTTTTGCAACTAATGCATGTGTTCATGTAACCTATCTGTACAAAATGTTTGCTGATGTAATCTCAAAGCTTCACCAGCAAGGGCTCTAGCCACACTGCCCAAGTTGCAGAAGGCAAAGGGAGGGACTGGGAGAATGCAGAACTGCCCACTGTAGGAGAAGATCAGTTTCAAGACCATCTAAGGAACCTGAAGGTGCAGAAGTCCATGGAACTTGATGAGATGCATCCACAGGTCCTGAGGGAACTGGCAGATGAAGTTGCTAAGTCACTGTACATCATATCTGAGAAGTCATGGCAGTCCAGTGAAGTTCCCACTGACTGGAAAAGGGGAAACATGCCTCCATGCCCCCTATTTTTAAAAAGGGGAAGAAGGAGGACCTAGGGAACTACAGACTGGTCAGTCTCACATCTGTGTCTGGCAAGACCGTGGAGCAGATCCTCCTGTGAACTATGCTCAGGTACATGGAAAATAAGGAGGTGATTGGTGACAGCCAACATGGCTTCACTAAGGGCAAATTGTGCATAACAAATTTGGTGGCCTTCTATGACGGGGTTACAGTGTTGGTGGATAAGGGAAGAGATAGTGATGTCATTTACCTGTGCAAAGCATTTGACACTGTCCTGCATGACATCCTTGTCTCTAAATTGGAGAGACATGGATTTGATGGATGGACCACTCGGTGGATAAGGAATTGGCCGGATGGTCGCACTCAAAGAGTTGTGGTCAACGGCTCAACGTCCAAGTGGAGATCAGTGACGAGTGGCGTTCCTCGCGTCAGTATTGGGACCGGCGCTGTTCAACGTCTTTGTCGGCGACATGGACAATAGGATCAAGTGCACCCTCAGCAAGTTTGCTGATGACACCAAGCTGTGTGGTGTGGTTGACACACTGGAGGGAAGGGATGCCATCCAGAGGGACCTTGACAAGCTTGAGCGGTGGGCCCATGTGAACCTCATGAAGTTCAACAAGGCCAACAAGGCCAAATGCACAAGGCCAAGGCACAATCCCAAGCACGACTATAGGCTGGGCGAGGAATGGATTGAAAGCAGCCCTGAGGAGAAGGACTTGGGGGTATTGATTGATGAGAAGCTCAACATGAGCCAGCAGTGTGTGCTTGCAGCCCAGAAAGCCAACCGTGTCCTGGG